CTTGGAAGCAAGGAACTGGCTTCCTTCAGTAAGTTTTACTTTGATTCTGTAATGGAATGGTTCATTACAGCAAAAAGCAGGGCTGAGAATCCTCAGCCTAAAATTATTCATGACAACGGAAAACTCCTTGTTTCAGAAAGAGAATCCTTGTCTGGACAAAGCAGAACAGTTGTGCTGTGTAAAACTGGGCCTGTCACAGATGCTTGTTAAAGGCTAGGGAAAAGCTGTTCTCAGAGCTTGTGTTGGCACAAAAGTAGGGCAGACTTTTTACTTCTTCCTTAGCTGTCCTGAGAGACAGGAGAGAGAAAATGCAGAAGTCCTCTTGGTTAGGCACAGGTGTAGCTTGTTCTCCACTATCAGGGCATGTCGAAGAGAAATGGTCTGTAATTCTCTCAGCAAAACAAACTTTTCTGTTGGCCATCCACTTGGTTGTTACCCCAGGTATTATCTCCTTTATAGTCAATGAAGTTACTGTTATGATGGCTGCTCATGCTAGGCCAAACAGCTTTATTAGTGATAATCCCTTCCCTTTGATTTCTCAGTGCTTTGAGTAATAAACACTAATCCTGCCAAGCACTTTGAGGTGATTCTCCAAGTGAGCATATTAACTCAGCAAACAAAAGGGTCAGGCTTGCTCTTGAGGGGGCAATAACAAAGGGACTCCTGAGAATTAACAGCATTTAGATGTAATAGATGTGCTGCTGACAAGTAAAAATCAACATTGAGGATGAGGCTTGAAGTCAGAGGCTGCACGTTATTGATTCAAACTCTCCCTTTTCTTGCTGTGATTCTAATCTGATTTCCCAGCCCCTTCTTTCAGGAAGCGTAGTCGGTTCTCCCAGCATTGATTTTAAGTGCATTGCAGGTTATAGTGACTTGGGCAAACTCTCTCTGCTGGGGAGGAGGCTGTCTGGGCCCACAAGAGGTGCACTGTGTGTGGTGTGCAAGGTCTGGGTTCAGGTTTGGCAGCCTCTGGAGGAGCCATGCAGCAAAGTCCTGGGTTGTGGAGAAGTAGCTACAAATGGAAGAAAAAGGCTGGAAGAAGCAGGGCAGGTATCAAATCAGGCTTTCCAAAACTTTAATATCTTCCTGCTTGTAGCTCTAAGTTAGCTGGGAATGAAAAGGCACATTTTAATGTGTGGGGCTTGGATATTTCTTGATAGATTTATTCTGAACTAAAATTCTTAAATATTGTCTTACACTTGGGTTGATTTCACATTCCCTTAAGATATTCAAAGTTATTAGCCTTGAGAAGTACCAGAAAGAAACTCTTATATCATCTTTTCTGGACAGAAGCAGTAGACCTTCTACTTTGTTTCTGAAATGATTGTGCAGAGCATCTCAGTGGAAAAAGGATTACAATCTGTGAGGATTCCTCTGTAGTAGCATAAGCAGCTAATTAGAATTACTATTTTTTTCATTAAGAAAATGGTCTCTCTTGATTTCGTGCTTTTGAACTATTAAGCATAGTTAATATTGACAACAGTGCATGTAGTCTGTCGAGAAAAAAAGGAAGAAGAGATATTCAGAATAAAATTAATTACTTACTTTATAGATATCACATACTACTGACATTAAAATATTACAATTCATTGTACTGAATCCAGTTCCTCAGTAACCATCTGCCTTGTGATAAGGGGTGAGTAGGAGTCATCAACAAGGTTGCAATAGGAGTCCTCAAAACAGATTGGTTGCTGCAATGTGTTGATACAGTTGACCCATGTGTTATTTTGTTTTGAGGCAATAGGAGTCCTCAAAACAGATTGGTTGCTGCAATGTGTTGATACAGTGTTATTTTGTTTTGAACATACAAACAATCAAGCAGGAGTATTTTTAAGCTGAATTGTTCTTAAGATTGCAGATGATGTGAAGATGAAGTCAAGACTGGGTGAAGTCGTAAAAAATATCTATTCTTAATTTGCATCAATCAGAATGACTTTAATGTATAGGTTTCTGTGTGCATTAACTTAGGCTTGAGTTTTCCACAATTCAGAGGATTACGGTGTTGCTATTTCACTACTGAGTTAAACCCGTGCCATGGAGACAGATGTTCCTGGGTGGTGAAACAAAAGTTTGCTTCTGTTGTTAATTTGAGTGCAGTTCTTTCAAGCCTGCTGAGCCAGTGCCTAATTAAACTGCACACACACTCCAAACAAATGAAAAAGTAATGCTGTTCCTCACAGATAACATTTAAGGTGACGATTTCTTCTCGAGTGAAATCTACTTGGGGAAATCAATTCACTGCTGAAGCAGAAACTCTTTCCATAATACTTCATTATGTGAGGCATTACTATAGCCCGTGCAGTATAGGAGAGCTCGTGCTGTTTGGAAATCTCGACTGTATCTAGTCAGAGCCATGGGACAAGCACAGTTTCAGTCTCATTTCTTTAATTTGAAGCCAGAGCCATATTCTTTGTCTGCAGTAGCATTATTCTGAGAGTGATGACAGGTTGTGCTACACATAGAGCAGAAATCTCTTATGAAATGTTTGGATGCTGTAGACTAGTGATTAGTTTGGAATTGAAAGTTCCTGAAGTGTTCCTTCCTGACTCCTCTAATTACATCAGCTGTATACATTTGCTCTGTTTTCACATTAAGCCACATGCCTTGTGCCTTGGCTTTCTCATGGCAGTACCTACCAGGAAAGCTGTTCAAGTTCAGTTTTGTATTTTTAAACATGCATTAAAGTAATTAGGATATACTTTGAGGCAAAGAGAGAGAGAGGGCAAGGGAAACGAGTTGTTTTTTTTTCCTCTTATGATGTTAATAATTATTTTTTTCTCCACACCTAAAGCACCTATGGAAGTGGTTTTCTGTGTATGAAAAGAAGCTGAGGTTACAAAAAATTCTTGGTTCACAAGGATGGTCACAATAATTTTATGATCAATAGGGTTACACCCTTGTATTGATGCACAGTTTCAGCAACATCAGCAGAACTCCTCTGAGACAGGCAGGATCTCTGCACTGAGCTCCAGCTCCTTTGCAGTGTAAAAGCCTTAAAAACAGCAACTAGTAAGCGGGTCACCTAGCACAGCTCCTAGGAGAGCAGAAAGAAAAGGAATTTTTAAAAACCATAGAGGGAGAATTAAATACACAAAACAAAATGTCTATTTGGGATGAGAGGGAGTGGAATTGGAACGCTTTTCTCATCTCAAGAAATCTCCAAGACTTCTGTGACTTCCTCATTCCATAGTGGCATCTGCTCAAGGGTTGCTGATAAAAAAATAAAACCAGTCTATTGTTCTTAATAGGTGTTGCTTAGGCCACTCACCTGAGACAATAGATACCTTTGTTCAGATCTCTACTCCAGGATGAAAATCTCAGTTTGCTGCCTAATGTGTGTTGATAATAATTGACCATCCTGGAATAAAAAAGAATCATGCATTTTCTTTGGACTCAATTGGAAAATTTTTTGTCCTATCAGGGCTTTTTGTTGGAAAGCTTTGGTTTTCATGAAGTCAACTAAATAATAATAAGAAAGTCCTGAGTGACTTTTGGGGTTTATTTTTTCCCTCAGGTTTGTTACTCTGTCACTATAATGACAGTCAAAACCATCTGCATTATAGCACTTAATTTTTTTTTAATTTATTTAAGAGTGTTATATTATTTTTTAATAATTCTAGACATCTGCTAATTTTGTGTGCACTTTCAGGTGCAGAAGGCCATAACAGTACCATGTGTGAATACTTTGAGGGAATAATTCTTCTGCCTTTATTCTGAGATAATAATAATTTTTGGTACACTGATCTCTGGGTGACCCAAAACATTTACTGAATCAAAACAATTAACCGGAGCATTAATTACATTATGATCTGTTTCTCTCAAAGTCAGACCAGAAGAGTTTCCATGGAGCTAAAATTTTTAACAGAACTAAAGTAAAAAGAGTAACTACGTGCCAATGGGAGGAAAGGAAGCAATGGGAGGAAAGGAAGGCTCCTGCTTAGAATAATGGATTGTTAATGCAGTGATGTATGGCAAAAGAGATGACTTACTGAAGTATATAAAAAAAAACTCTTGGATTGTTACCTTTGTTCAAAACTTCAGTTAAAGAAAAGCATGTAGGAGTCACTGTCACTTCCTGAGTCGTGCCTTAGATCAGAAACATTTGCAGGAGCCATCTGCTTTGTGGAAGTCAAGTATGCAGCATGCAGAAGTCTGAGGTATGACTCATGGGAATGGTATAGAAAATGGGTCAGTCTTTCTAAGCTCTGAATACCTGACTTCATTGCGAGATTGTTAAAAGTTTAGAGAAAATGAAGAAATAGATTAATTTCTGGAAAAGGCTTGGGAGAAGTGAGGATAGATGTGCATTATAAATTGGAAAATTATTTTTCTTTGTTGTGTTCCTCTCATGTGGGGCTTGTATAAGTTAATTGGGTGAACTTCATTGAATAAAATTATGTTTCCATATTTATTGAAGAACCATGGTGATTAGGTAAACCAAGTCTGTGATCATTCTACCTTAGGAGAGAAATATGAAACAGATCCATTCCCCTCCATTGTCACAATTACTGTGTTTTAATTTCTATTATAAAACCCGAAACAAATCTTACAAATTAGTTAATTCATCAATAAACAAAATGCTACGGTGTCAATATCAAGTTGGCATTAGGAAAAAGGTATCCATTTTTTTAGAATCCCCCAACTATCTAATCTTTTCACCTCATCTGATGGCACCTTCTAGTTAAGTAAAACTAAAAATCAACAAGTTTATCTGAGTGCAGTTCTCTGATGTTATTTTCTTATTGGTGCTATGTTCCTTCCCTATTTTTCTGGCTTAAGTAGAACCAGGGAATAATACCACGCTTATATTTCAAAGTATGAAGCTATTTATAGCATGTGGAGATATTGACTGTACATTTCTTTCTAAGACTATATACAACAGAAATTGATTTTTCATTTTGTAACGAGTACATCTTAGGACTTCAACACAAAATAAATAGAGGAGGAGTAAGAAAGAGACCACAGCTATAAACTGGTCTTTGTTTTCTGAACTGCAGGTAATGGAACATTGATTGGAGCATCTGCAAATGTTGTTTGTGCTGGAATTGCTGAACAGCATGGTTATGGCTTCTCTTTCATGGAGTTCTTCAGGTACGATTTTAAACTTCTCAAATTCAATCTGTTTTTGGGTTTTTTTCCTCTCTTGGCAAACAATGAATCTCCTAATGAGAAAAATCTAGAGAAAGGATCTATAAAAAATACTTGTGTTCCTAATTTGGTTTTGGCAACTGAAATGCAGGTGGAAGACAAATTACTTTATTTCTGTAAAATGTTGATAGAATGCATGAAGCTCGTGGGAGCACAGTGGAACTCCAGGAGAAACAAAGCCTTCAAAATTCCTACTTTGATCACCCTCAATCTTCAGTTTTGTAGAAATTGTAAATTGTTGCTTTATTGTAAAATGCAGTTTAAACCTAGTTTCTCATCTGCACATATTCATGGATGTTCTATCACCAGGAGCAACTGGAATGCCCTGACTGAGTTGACTTTTATTCCATGATCCCACAAGTAAACTATTTACTTAAAAGTAATTACTTCTTTTAACCAGCTGCTTAGCAACTGTGACTGAAAGTGTGATGAGCAGTCAGTTTGGCTCAACTCAAGTTGTTGCCTAATAATTGTTTAATTAATAATTAATAGATTTTTTAATAGTAATTTTTAATTTTTAATAATTGCAGGTCATTCATCATCAGGTTTTTAGGGGACAAGGTATACTTAATGCATACAACAATTTAATATTTTTCCAAATACTTCCTGTTTTTGAAACAATGGTTGAAAGATGTAAGTGGAAACTGGCAAATAAGGATGAAACACAAAGTTCAAGTTTAAAGTGCAGTTGATTTAGCTGAAACATATTTCCTTGCTTCTTTTTTCTGCATATTTAGGGCAAAGGATACTGTTAAGCTCACACCAATTTATTTTTTCTCTTTGCTTTCTTTACGTTGTTTATTATAGTTTCTCAGCCCTATCAGCTTTCTTCTAAACTGTTTTCCTCAAAGCCCTCAGACCTGTATTATTAATATGATTAATCATACAGGATTTTCTGGAGCCAAGCTAATGATAACCCTGAAAAGAAAGGTGGTCCAAAGTGCTGCTGCTGAAGTTCAAGCTACAAGGATGTGCTACTCATAGCACAATTTAGCTCTTCACCCATGGTCTTCTGATGATATATTTTAGAAAGGCAGATGCCTATCAAATCCAAGTCTTGTCTGTCAGGATCTCTGAGACTGCAGAACAGTCTTACGTAGTACATAGTAATAGCTCACAGATTTTCTGGAAGTCAAGCCCTTGCACAAAAAATTGGTGATGCAGTAATAATGGGCTGGTGAATTGCACTGTTCATGTTTCACAAATTTTGGCCTTGGCATCTGGGGATTTAACTTGTGTGTAGCATTAACAGTGTGTCCTCTATGTAGATTTTGCATTGAAATGTTCTCAAAACTTCTATGAAACTGATTGAGAAAACAAATACATAAAGCCTGGCTAATCTCTTCAGCAGTGTTTACTGGAATGTATTCTTTGGTACTGATGACAGCAGACAGATGCTCCGAAATTGCCTGCTTTTGGTGGAAGTGATTACTGGGAAACACTGTAGCCACCTTGAACAAAGATGTGAGAATCGAAACCATAGTGGTCTCAGAGAGATAGCAATGGATATTAATTAGCAGAAAGAATATAAAAATTCACTTTTTCTGGCTGCCTTTTAATCAATGAGCAGACAGATCATGAGCTTCTTCACAATTTGTGTTAGGAAAGTATTTGTTTCAGTCAAATGTTCACGAATGGAATATATTTTAAAGCTTCTCCTGGCATCAAGATGTGTTTTGTGTATCCCTTGAGGATTTTGATTTTGCTTACTTTTATTCATGAAGGTTTCCTCAAAGTTTTAAAGTGAATTTTTTTATATTTCTTCCCTGTTTTCCCAAGATTACTCAATAGGTTTCACATCCCCATTGAGGGGTCCTCTGCAGTGCTTCTCCCAGCAGACACACAGATTTTTACCCTCTTATCTTGAAAACCCCTGGGAGTCAGCAGAGAAAAATCATGGCTACCTTGTGTGGGGAGATGATGACCCTCTGCTGGTTGACTTTTGCTAAGATGTCTTTACATCAGCCTGAGCTGCTGTTGTTCTGCCCTTCCCACGTGCCTCTGTACAGGAAACCCACGCCACGTCTGTCTCAAGTGGTGTCATAGAGCACAGTACTCTACTCCACTTCCAATACACTTTACGCTTCCTTCCTAGCATGCTAAGCCAAATCATGCAAATGTGTTTAAGGGAGGCCTTTGCTAGAAGCAGCTTTTTTGAAAACCATGTTTTGATACAGTGGTCTGTAAAAGGAATTCCAGACAGGGTTGATAAGCATGTCTGGTGAGTACACATTGATAAAACAGAGGGCAAGATTCTATGGAAGCTGTGGGTTCCTCATGGTGAGAGGCACCACGATGCCTCTCTGTGCAGGGAGAGAAAAAGGCAAGAAGCAGGTTCCTTGCTCTGTAAGAGGGCTCATGACCTTTCCTCTGTGTGTCTTTGTGCAGTGCCACTTGGCGCAGTTTGAGGTTTCTCTTCTCTTTTTAAGAAGGTAGCAAAGGCAACCTGGCAGATGTGTTATGCAATGCTATTCTGCTGCCCAGCCAGAGCCAGAGGTGGCCAGGTGTGATAACTTGCCTAGAATGCTGAGGTCTTACCAGCTTGATGTGCTTCTCTGTGGAGTGCCTTCCTCAGAAGAAGTCCTGTTCTGGGGAGTTCTGTGTGTCAGAACAACAGCTAATTGCTTTCCCTGAATCAAGAGTCCTACTGCCTCAAGGACCTGGCCCTCCACAGATGGATGTAAGGAGAAGACAGGTCTGGTGTCCTATTCTGACCATCCAAGCAACTCAGGCCCATGTGCTGGAAGTGCTGTGCCTGTAAGGTGGTTCCAGTAGGGTGGCATTTAGGTGGGAAAGCTTATACTGAGAAAGAAGAGAGAAAGGAATAAGGTTCCCTCTCTGTGTTGAAGCACTTTAAAGCAGCCTGGTGTTCAGAGTACACTGCTGGTTGAGGAGATACCAAGTCATATCCATGCATGCCTGGCTGTGAATGTGCTGGCCAGTGTCACCAAATATCTTACTCAGAATTAATTCAGATCTAAGAGCAAGATTGCCTATGACAAAAGATCTTTTGGTTGCCATGAATTCTACTTCTGTTTCCAGACCCTGTGAGGTTTTTTGATTATTCATTGTGTTCCACTGCAATGAAAAGATTCACATGTCATTTAGAATATACAATATTGTAGTAAGTTTAATTTATCCCCATGAAAATATTTTTATCTGAATCTGTTAGATGTGGTGGTAGAAAAACAGAAAGGATCTCCTACTGGTATATCAGCATCAAAAGGAAGAATAGGGGATATTTGAGACTCATTGAATGGGGAAAAGAACTGCTGACAAGGGATGTGGAAAAGGCAGAAGTTCCCAGTGTGATCAGCTTCACAAAGGCCTGCTGGAGACCAGTCATTAATGCTACTCCCTAGGCTTCTTCTGTGTCCCAGTAGTGCCTTCCAAGCTCAGCCACTTAGGGATTCAGCTTTTAACCAGCCCCACAAATCTGAAGGCAAATAATGGGTGACTGCCACTGGATGATTCATTTGGAATAACTCAAACTCAAAAGGAAAGAAAGCAATGTTATGACAAAAGCAAAATTGAAAGTCATAAGAAGAGCAAGTTCAGAATAGTAATTTCCTTAAAGATGCTCTTGCATTTTTGGAATCAGTACAGGCAAATTATGCTCTTGTTCCATTTTGAAAACTTCCTCATCAAACTGTATTTATGTGTTTTATCTTTCCTCCTGAAAAAATATGTTAGATATACCCATATGAAATATAGGTAATCTAATTAAAGTAATATTAATTATAATATTAATATTGCCTTCCTATAATATTTCCTTATCCTTCTAGTAATTTAGAGCTGTACATGATCGAGCTGAACATGATATTCCAGTCACAATTCTCTTATTTTTTCACATTTAAAAAATATAAGATTTAATTCAGAGTGTGGAGCTGCTTGCCTTTTCTTTGTTAGTCTAAGCAACATCAAATTCCTGTTCAATTTGCTATTCAGTGCAAATCCAAGTCTCTTTCAGTTTTCGTGTTACTTACATGAATGTGATTATATTTGTTCTCCTCTCAAATTCTTACACTTTTCCTACATTGTGGACGCAAAGACAAGTATTTAAGTGGTAGAACTAGAAAAAAATTGTGAGTCCATGGGGCTTGGAAAAAAAGATAGAGAGGAGTGGGATATTTGCTGTATGTGGTCGAGTAAACATTAGAACAAGCAAATATCAGAGCAAACAAATGATCATTATGTCTCTAGACAGAAGTGTAACTATTTTCATCATCTTGACCCTACAGAAAGCATCAGATATGTTAATAATATGAAGGTAATTGCTCAGAGACAGCATTTATCAGTAAGCAGAAGGCAGGAAAAGATAATATTCCTATTATGATTTTAGTCTAGTTATCAAAGAACTATTACACCTAAATAAGAGCTTAACATAAAGGAAAACCCCAAATCTAGGCGAGTATTTTCTCTTGGCAAATGGTCAGATAAAGACATTGTAGTCGTGTTTCTTGGATGAATTCTAGAGGTTAATACAATGATTTTGTATAAATTCAGACTGCAAAATAATCAACAGAGCTTTATTTTTTTCTCAAGGTTTTCTCAATTTTTTCTTTATTTTTTTTTATCAATGACAAATAACATTGCAGATATCTGTTTTAATCTAGATGCTTCATTTCATAGAAGTTTTTAAAATTTTTACCAACATATATCTGAGTTTGTTGCAATGTAGCATTCTACTAGTTCAGACCATTCTGTGGAACATGAAAATGATGCACAGAAATCTTATTGTTGCTAATGAAAAAGTTGATTCCAGCTCCATAACATAAGAAGTACTCATTGCTGTAGAGGCTTTAATTTTGTTTTCACTTGCTAATACAATTTACAAGTTGACTTTCATTTTCACTGTAAGACAGGCATTTGTAACCTTATAAAGATATGTATTATTTCAAATATAAACTAACCTGTGTTCCTTCATCCTATTGTAACTCAAT